TTTATTCTCAAATAAAAGTTTAATTTGATCCAAATGTTTTTCAAAAACTTGAGGTAAGTATATTTGACGTAAAGTGGATGCTTAAGGAATAAACCCTTCTTGTTTTATATATTTTTGAAAAAAAGGAAGAAGGGAATTCACTTTTTCTAAGAGTATATCAGCAACAGCAAAAGCATAAATTAAATCTTCTATTAATTCTTTTTTGCTATTAGCATTTAAAATTGTTAAGGCAATTGTCCTCTGTTGTAAAACATTTCCATTAGTTTTTTGTTTGTTTTCATATTCTCTTTTTTTTGCACAATGCGTAACACCTTGAATATGATTTTTAATACTTGATTTTTTTTCCCACTTAACAGAATAGTTACAATATATGTAAAGTAAAAGATCATCATCAACTCTAAAATCATTAGAATATTCAGCTGCACAAGTATAAATAGTTACTTTACAAACCATTCTTTATTAATCATTAACCGTAAAACGGTTAATTCAAAAAAAAAATTTATTGATAAAAAAATTTTTTCGATCGTACCAATTTTAATTGGTCGATATAATGTGACACACAATAGCCCTGTTCAATTCTGTTCCACTTTGATCTGATCTGATTTTCATGAAATTATTTTGACCAATTAAAAAATGGCGAGAATTGAACAGATAAATGCTAAGTTGATCTGTTCTATTTTTAAATTTGAACCAATCATGTCAATTAAACACGATGCAGACTATACTTTATTCTTATTAATAATAGAGGAGATAGATGATTCTTTTAAAAATGAACTAAACCTAAATGAACTAGATGATGATAACTATGAACTAAAAAAAATAGTTCTTCTTGCTTTATCTTCTAGTCATTATCTTGTTTCTCGAATACATAATGTTGTTAAATCTAAACATTGGTGGTATAAAATCTTACCTTTATATGATGATATACGATATAAAAAAGTATTAATAATGGAAAAACAACAATTTAATATGCTAATACAAATTTTACAGCATGATATAGTATTTTAAGACAAAGGAAATAAGCCACAAGCATCTGTTGATTTTCAATTAGCAATATTTCTTCGACAACTTGGTTCTAAAGATGAAATCATGAGTATTTGTTCTCGATTTGGAGTATCAGAAGGTTCTGTAATTCTTTATATTAATCGTGTAATGAAAGCAATAAGAAATAAAAAATCAGAATTTGTTCAATGACCTAAAGATAATAATCGAAGTGTTATTCATACAGGATTTCAAAATATTGGTGGATTTCAAAATGTTATAGGAGCTATAGATAGAACTCATTTTATTTTAACTGAGACACCAACACAAGATCCAACAGCATACTTTACAAGGAAAAAAGATATGCAATTCAATGTCAAGGAATTGTTGATTTTAAAGGAATTTTATTAATTATGTAATAGGATGGCCTGGATCGGTACATGATGCACGAGTTTATAGCAATTCAGATTTTTATCTTAATAGAACAGAATATATTCAAGATGAAGATTATGT